CACCCCACCCCCGACAAAGACCTAAAGAGTTGCAAAATAAAAAAGAGATTCAGAAGAAGAGCTGGCCAAACAAAGGCTGGCTGATGGTATCGGGAGGAACATTGTCAGCTGAGAAAGTGCCTGATCTGGGGGTGGGGTAGGGTGGGATACCTGGCCCAGCCCAAGGAGGAGGAACACACCGGCAAGCAAATTTTCCCCCATGAACCTCCTACTGGAGGATAATGTGGAAAGTTGTGTTTATAGTCCTTCATTGACAAGGATTACTAAACCTTGTGGTTACCCCAATTATTGCGAGGAAGAAAGGGGTGAAATTGGGGGTGAAAGAGGAAAACAGCTAGGCTGAATGAGGAGGTGGAACTCTGGCTGGGCCATGCAACTCTCATCCTCCATACCCCTAGGAATCTTTCCAGCTCCCTTTCTTGCCACTCTAGAAACATCCCTGGAACCATGCTGTCTTAGCTAGCTCAAGTGCTTCTTTCATCTCCACTGTCACTTGGCACATCTCCCAAGGCCAGGTCCCCTCCCTTGGCTTCAGTTATCAGTGTGTTGGAGGTTCCCACATCTCTCACTAATCTCTCTGATATTCAGATCTTCTGAACTCCTCTTTTAGATAACGCACCTTATTTTGAGAAAGTCAGGGATTACCACAAGAGGATAGAAGGCAAAGAAGCTAGGGCCCCTTACTCAGCTTGCTCACAGTTAAAAGCTTGGCATATGCTTTTTTTGATCTCAGCTTCTTGTTTTTTTTCTGCAACTGTACCCGGTTAAGCACCTGACCTCCAGGCAAGATGAGGTTTAGCCCACCCCAGCAAATCAACAGAAGCTTCTCCCTCTTTGTTGAGGGGAAATGTCTGATTTCTTTGGTCAGTGCTGGGTCCTTTCTGCTCTCGAGTTGAAATTCCAGGAAATCTCTGCCTGTGTTCTTACACATTTGGCTCAATCTTTTTTTTTTTTTTTTTTTTTTTTTTGGTTTTTCGAGACAGGGTTTCTCTGTGTCGTCCTGGAACTCACTCTGTAGACCAGGCTGGCCTCGAACTCAGAAATCCGCCTGCCTCTGCCTCCCAAGTGCTGGGATTAAAGGCGTGCGCCACCACTGCCCGGCACTTCAAATGTTTTTAAAACACTGAAAGCCCAGACTATCCCCTAGACTGAATAGACATTTTCTTCTTCTGGAAGGTGGTATGCAGACCTCTTTAGTTATTCGAATTCTCCAGATAATCTTAGTATGATCCAAGTTTGAGACCCGAATATCCGCCAATACAGAAGGCAGCAGAAATAGAAGAGAATAGTGTTGCAAATTGCAAATATAAGGGAATGGCAAGCAATGGTGGCACATGCCTTTAATTTCAACACTTGGGAGGCAGATCTCTGAGTTTGAGGCCAGCCTATTCTACAGAGTGAGCTCCAGGACAGCCAAGGTTACAGAGAAGACAAAACTCCAAAACAACATAAAGGAATACTTAATTTGATTATTAGACAAATAGATACAAGAGGAAAACAATAAAATGGCCTTTTTGCTTTTAAATTATTATTATTAGTTATTATCATTATTATTAGCAGCAGCAGCAGCGTGTGTGGGTGTGTGGGAGTGCTGTAGCCACTTCTGATGTCCCAGGATTGAATTTTCTCCTTTTACCTTTATGTAGATTGTGGAGATTAAACCCAGGTCACTATATCACCAGGCTTGCACAGAAAGCACCCTTTCTCTGAGCCAGCTCATTGGCCTAGAAACCCAAAGGTTGGTCCCCTCCTCTCCTCTCCTCTCCTCTCCCCTCCCTCCTCTCCTCTCCTCTCCTCTCCCTCCTCTCCTCTCCCCTCCCTCCTCTCCTCTCCTCTCCCCTCCCTCCTCTCCTCTCCTCTCC